GATAAAAGGATAGGAAAAAAAGATGCCCTTCAAGGGCATCATCCCACAGACGGATTTAGCAACCAGGTAACCTTTGTCACCTCAATTTTAGCTTGTTTTTAGTTGTCGCTCTGCAGTTTTTTTCTTTATGGGTTTCATTTATTATCGATTGCACTTGTCTCTAGGATGGGGAGGACGGGGTTTTATTTATTGTATTTATTTAAAAGTGTTTACCCCATCTTTCTCCTTCAAAAAGGACCCAAGGCAGTTTACCTCATTAAAAGGTAATATTTAAAGCTAAAAAGAGTAAGCGTGCAAATACTGAAAAGGCACAAGCAAGTCCCGCACTAAAAGAGGGTAAACAAAAGCCACACCAAAAACACATTCAATGCAGTAAGAAGCACCTTTAATTCATTTTTAAATACTGTACTGTACAGTAAACCCCACTCAGGCAGCCATTCCACTCAGGGAAAGCTTGCCTGAAAAGAAAGGTATTTGTTTTCGTTCCCTTACTAGGTATACCGCTCGGAGTGATGTTTTTCACTAATTGGATGGGATCGAAATTTAATAAATAAGCAAATTCTGAAATGCCATGCAAAAGAGGCGTCGTGCGGCTGTTTGGTGCATCCTGCCATGTAGGAGAGAAATGGATAGTCTCAATGCAGTCCCCTGGAAAACAACTTCCGGAACATTCTGCATGAATGGCCCCTAAAACCACTTATTTCTTTATCCATTTAATGTTGCTTCTATTCCACCTTTTCCCCCACAGAGGACTTATAGCAGCTCCTGATCAATTAATAATACATAGTAATCAATATAAGATAGTTTCCAACATTTTACCTGCTTTAATTACTCAATTAATTTAAATTGATTTTATAGTTTAATTGTTTTTAATGTGTATCTCGCAATGTTTTTAATACTGAGAGCTGCTTCGGGTTCCCTTCTCGGGAGAAAAGCAGCCTATAAATGAGACAAATAAATAAACAAATAATATTATAAAAGCACTTACAGAAACAATACTAAAAAGACAATTAATCATATTGCAATATTAAAACCACCATTAAAGGCAATTTCAAAAGCATTTTAAAAATTCAATTTCAGTTCAATAGATACAAGATTCCTTTTAGGTTTTTCAGGCTGTTTATATATATAGTAATCAATATAAGATAGATAGATATAAACAGCCTGAAAAACCGAAAGGGAAGGTCTTGGTGTGAGAGTGAAAGGGACAAGAGGGAGGAGGCCAAGCTGACTTCTGGAGGGAAGGCATCCCATAACCTGGGAGCCACCACAGAAAGGGCCCTCTGTTTAAATTTGTGAAGTAATGGGGAATAGACGCTGTTCCAGGAGCATTGTGGAAAGTTTCCCATGGCCCTGCTCCCTCTTGTCCTCCCACCATCAGACTAAAACCTCCCTTCTCAGTCAGGCTTTAAGTGTTTTTTTTTCTTTTTCATATGTTTTAAAAGCAACAACGTGTCTGCTGAATTTAGAGATTTTAAACATGCTTTTAAAATGGTTTTTACGGGTGGTTTTAATATTGTTCTTATATTGTAATATAAGCTTTTGCAGTCCCAGGCAGGCAGGATGCACAGCTGGATGGAAATTGGGTACACCGGTTGCCCCCCATCCTCCCACCTTTTGCCCTCTTGCTGCCTGGATGGTCCCCTGGGAGCAAAAATTCACTCTCCACTTTCCCACCTTCCTGATTTGCTCCCTCCACCTTCTTAAGCTCAGCCAGCTCTTGTTCTTCTCCTTAGGGAAGGAGCCGGATTCTATTTGGGCAGCCAGCCTCAACAGGAGAAGCCTGCACAAGCTGAGGTGGCTGATGAAAGATGGCTCCCAGATGAGGCTCATGCGAGGAGACAAGATGGAGACAAGAGGTGTGTATGTCTCTGTGTGTCTGTTTAAGGTGCCCTTATTTGTCAGTCAAGAAAATGGGTATAGCAGAAAAGTAGTCTGCTTGCATCTACGCCGGACAGGATTGACCCACCATACCTCACTGTTGACTCATGGGGGGATGGTGTTGTTGTTGAGCCATTAAGTCGTGTCTGAATCTTTGTGACCCCATGGACCAGAGCATGCCAGGCCCTCCTGTCTTCCACTGCCTCCCGGAGTTGGGTCAAATTCATGTTGGTCGCTTCGGTGCCCCTCTCCATCCATCTCGTCCTCTGTCGTCCCCTTCTCCTCTTGCCCTCACACTTTCCCAACATCAGGGTCTTTTCCAGGGAGTCTTTTCTTCTCATGAAATGACCAAAGTACTGGAGCCTCAGTTTCAGGATCTGTCCTTCCAGTGAGCACTGTGGTTTAATTTCCTTCAAAATGGATAGGTTTGTTCTCGTTGCAGTCCAGGGGACTCTCAAGAGTCTCCTCCAGCACCACAATTCCAAAGCATCAATTCTTCGGCGGTTGGCCTTCTTGATGGTCCAGCTCTCACTTCCATACATCACTACTGGAAAAACCATAGCTTTGACTATGCCGACCTTTGTCAGCAAGGTGATGTCTCTGCTTTTTAAGATGCTGTCGAGGTGGGGGGATACAGACCCATAATACCTGCAGTTACCCACCCCTGTACACTGCATTTTGATTGGTATCTGGTGCCTTCACCCCCATTGGCAAGAAAGAGGACAGGAAGAAAGAGAGGTCTGTGACTTTTTTCTCTTTTTTGGGGAAACTTTAATTTCCAGCTGATTTGCATTTTAATAAATGTGTTTCTTCTCACTCTCTCCCCCTCTTTCCCCCCTAGTGCTCCTGGGAGGCCTGTGTTCAGAAAATGAAAAGGTAGGGGTGGGGTGTGGGGGAATGACGGGAGAAAACGGGTTGAAAATGTGAATTGATCAAGTGGCATCTTATGAGAAATTATAGCTATTGGGACTTTAATAATACCGTTACGCAGGAGGTCAGGCAGGTGGAGAAGGCGCAGAATTAATGCCGCACGGAGGGAAGGTGTTCGGATATGAAGTGTAATCCTCGGTTGCCTTGGGAGAAAATCTTGCCAGCTCCTGAACAAAGAATTGGCAAACTCTGGTGGGATCGGGGCTCTTAATGATATCTAGCAATCAGAGAGAACCAGGTTCCTTTTAAAAAAGAGGGTGATGTTGATTCCCAGAAATAAGGAACTTACAATGTTCATTTGCACGGTTCAAGGGAAAGTCTAGAAGTGATTTGTTATGATGGGCCTGATATCTATAAAGTGGCAGGGGTGGATGTGCCCATCTTTCCCTATAGCTTCTTGAGGGTGACCCCGCCTTCTATTCCCCTCACCACTGACTGCCAAGGGACAGAGAGAAACATCTCCTTGTCTACCCTGATGTCCCCCACATGGGCATCAAAGAAAGGGGTGTTTTCAAAACGAGGGCGGGCCTCATGTGGCCACCCTCGTATTCCATCAGAAGGATCTAGTGCTAGCTAGGAGCTCTTCCTCTGAATGATAAGCAAGACGTTTGCCCAGGAGAGTATGACAAAATCGGAAAATGGAACTCTTGAGAAACCTGGGAAAGCAGTGTTGGTCTTGCCAACTGTAAGAGCAGTGCGATTCATTTTTTAACACTTATTTTCTTTTTCAAAATATTCTAGCCGTGCCCCTTCCTAAGTATGGTAAGTCAGGTCACTAATTTAAGACAATTCATCCTTGTCTCTAATAATTACCTCCTGATTAGTCTACTGTTAAACACTCTACATGGGTCTGCCCTTGAAAACTATTCGAAGCTACAGCAAGTGCAAAATGCAGGGGCTACACTGTTGTTCGATCCGGGCCTTGTTGGTCTAAATAATGAACAGAACTCCTGTGTTAAGAAGAACCTCCATGCTTTGAGACAGTCTACCTATGAATACCAAATGCTGGGAAGTAGCCACAAGAAGGGTCTGTGGCTTTCTTGGCTTGTTTCTCCTAGTAGGACAATAAGTTTGTCCCAGTGGGAACAGAAAGCAGTGTGATTGGGGTGGTTGCTGCACTAATTCCACCGAAAGATCTCTGCTTAAATTTGGCTTGGTCTGATGTGAGCCTTAATTTCTTCTTTCCAGAGCTGGTGTGTGTGTGTGTGTGTGAGGGTGAGGGTGCTTTAAAAATGGCTGCAGACCCTTGTTAGCTGGAAATTTCTGAGCTTTGTAGTCCTATCTTCCATTTCTCCAAAATCTAATTCCTATTTCCTTCTTTGCTTTGTACTGTTTAGGAAATGAGGCAGATTTCAGCATGGAAGCAGGAACAGCTTACTGTGGTTCAAGACTTTCTCTCTCTGTGTATGTAATTTGGAACTGTAATACATATGTTTTGTGCTTCCTGTGCTTGGAACCCAGAAAGAATTGGAAGGGTTCCCCCCCCCCTTGCTCTTTTTTGCCTGCAAACTCTCTGCCTTGGAGAAGAGGGACTAGGCATGGCACAGATCAATGGCTGCATAATCAACTATGCTGAAGAAGGGAACGGCTTTATTTTCCCTTTGGAGGTCTCTGTCAGTGTGAATCAGAGAGCTTCTTTTTCCGATTTCCAGAGCGGAAGTGAATTTCTATACGTACCAGCTGGAAGGTTTGTGTGTTTATGGGATTCACGCTCTCATACTCCCCTGCTGTCCTAATTTCCTGGTCCTGGACTGTCCCAGATGTATTTATTCATTTATTTTATTTATCATAAGTATTTTTAGCCTGGCCTTCCACTGTGCTCCCAGGGCAGTTTGCCAAAAATCATAAAACAATTACAGTGTAAAGGCAAGAAGTGAAAAGAAAAAGAAGGAAAACAAAAAAGGCCACAGATGTATAAAGTCTGTGGGATTAAAATCTCATCTGAAAAGCTGAGGAAAAGAAAACATAAATATTGTGATGCTGAAAGAATGCTAGAAATGGCCAGCAAATGTGCGAGCCAGAACACATTATGAAAAAGTACCTACCCACCCCTCTCTCTGCCACATATCTGACCTCAGGTGAAGCAAACACCTGGAGGAAATATTTTTCTATAAATCTTAAATGTGCAGATGTGGATGTCTGGAACTTAGAAGTAATTAAGTTATGAGTAATGTAGTTATTTATTGCTGGTCGCTTTTGGGTGGCTGACATGCCGGCAAGGGGATTCTGGGAGAAGTAGTCCACAAAATTTAGTTTCCAAAGCTTGAATCAATCATTATCATCCTATATTGTTTCTAGTCTCTGAACAGCCTCCAAAGGCAGCCCCAGGAAGAATGCAATGCAGTAGCCTAACTGAATGAATTGTGGCCCTGAACTTTTTTCCTTTCTAAGTTAGAAATATGATTTCTGAGGTACTTCTTGCTTCATGTATGTATGCCTTTCCGTTTCTGTTAAAAATGGAAGAACCAGCCTAGAATCAAGGCAGAAAAGTGTCACGACCCAGGACAGAGACCCCACCAAGGTTAAGCATTCAAGCAGTCACAGCTCTAGAGAAGGGTTGGAGGCAATTCTCCGTTTCCAACCAATCCTGATATATTTTGTGCTTGCTTGGCAAGTCAAACCATGTGAAAACTGTTATTTTCCTTTAATTTGGCAATATTTAATTTAATTTAAATGTTACTTTGTTTTATTTTGGTTTTGTTTAAGTCAATGTCTCGGACAGATTTTGTACATTTGTTCTTTTTGCCTTTCTGTGATAAATGGTCACCTTCTTACATGAACTGACAAACTTGGCAGCCCTTCATGCCTTTTTGATCTTGACAGTCCCGCCTTGTCAGGGTGCCCTGCTTCAAAAAAGGAAGGAGCAAGATTTCCTCTGTTTCTCTCGTAGGGCCTTCCACCTTGGCTGGCACTAAGCCTCAAGTAAGCATTATTGCTGCTGCAGCAACTTCTCTTAGGCTCCAAGGACTGAGTCTCCCATGAGGACATAACACAAAGGCCCTGAGAATGTGTATCCCCAGATACACGTTCGAAGAACTCTAGAAACAGAGAAAACTTTAGGAAGGCAGCTATAGTGTGGAGGGTGGAACTTTCTAGAAGGACTCCGGGTGAGGCTATAAGAGCCAGGCAGTAGCTCCAGACGGGGTAACGTGTCTGCAGGTGTGCTGGCCGTGGTCCTGAAACAAAAAGCAAGGGGCTCAGTCTAAGCATAAGAGGCAAGTGCTGTCCAGGGTCCTGACGCTACTCTGCTCTAGGATATCGGCCACCCGACCTCCTCCCCCCCCCTTTGTCTTGGGTGGCTGAGTGAGTCCCCTCTCAACCACGACATCCAGATGTTCCAGGTTCACATGCATGTGTGGCGCCCTAAGAGGAACAGCACGAAGAATTTTGTTCTGTTTGCTTTTTGACGTTATCCCTAAGCTGATTGGTTCCTCCTGCATTAAGATACGATTTGGGGAGCAATAGCTCTTTGGTCTTTCTGCTTCTCCAGAGTGGATGCAAATACTTAGGGGGTGACTTCAAGGCCTTTCCTTCTAGATGTCCATTTATATTTAAACAGGACCTTGAGGGCCCAGTCCTTCGAACAGAGGGTGAGTGAAAGACCTGCCTTTTTTTAAGCCAGACCCACGGACACCCTACCTGGCAGCCTAAATCCTATTTTAATTCTGATGTGATTCTCGGCAGGTTCTCCATTCTTGTTTCAACGTGGATGCTCAATTCCATGTTTAAATTCATTCCTTGCTCAGTCAGTGCCCTGGAACCCATCCTTAATCCTGCTGGTTTGCCTTCCCTCTCTTCCCCTACAGACACCTGGCTTATAAAAGACCCAGTGTGACAGCGCTTCAATTCCGGACAATTTCCCCCACCCTGCTGTTTGCAAGCCTTCCTTCGCTGGCTGCATCCTTTTTTTGTATTCCTTTGGCTCTGTAGAAAGAGGCTTGAGAAAGGCTAACATTAAGAAAGCATTTTTCACTCCCCCTTGCCCCGCCCGTCTTCCTATGTCGTGGGTTGCATAGATTTCTTAAGAAACGATTCCCATTCAAGAACC